ACAAACGAGGGGGCTGTGACAAACTGTTTCGTCGGAGTTTCACCAACTCATCAGGAGGCTGTATATATAACGTTTTTCCTTTTTTTTAATTTGAATAGGTTCACTCTTGCTTTCTTTTCTTTCGCTTTTCCTTTTTAATGGTTCCTCAACTTTCCTGGATCGTTTTTTTTTTGTTTTTTTTTTTAACTGTAGTATTTTACTCATCTGGAGTTCGAACTCGGATCTGTATTTCAACAGTTCAAGGGTGTACCAACTGAGCTATAGGCCAGTTGGTTCACAGATACGTTTTGTTCTGGCTTCTTTCTGAGGGTCCTATATTCCGGATTCGGCCGGGCCCACTGGACAGCGTCGAAACTTCACGAGTGTGTTCCTAAAGGCCACCGGAATCGGAGAACCCGAATCAATTCCGCAGTTCAACCGAGCAGACCCTCCCAGAGATCAGTGAGAAACAACCATCCAGCCTGTGGGACCAACTCACTCACTGCATTACCATCACAGGAACTAGCAGGTATCCTCCACCTCCAATCGCTGCTGGTCACCGCCTCTGCCACCTGGCTGCATTCCAAAGGTCTGGACATTGACACCACGTGCTCCAGATGCCAGTGGGCCTGGGAGACCTCAAGCCACCTCTGGTACTCGTGCCCATCTTCCTTTTGAGTTTGGGCTTGGTGGAAAAAACACTGGGAAAACATCACAAAAGACACGATGCCCTGGCACGAAGGATGGACGCTGAATGGCATCCTCCAAACAGGCCTATCCCCTCATTCTGCCTGGGGCTACGTTGCACAGGCCATCAGGACCATCATTATGGGTGTCCTGTGGGAAGATCGCAATGATAAGGTGTTCAGACCCCAGATCAGATGCATCATTATGGGTGTCCTGTGGGAAGATCGCAATGATAAGGTGTTCAGACCCCAGATCAGATGCACGATCATCGCCGACTGGAGAAGGAAAACAGCAAGGGGCTACAAGATACAGCAGGTAAAATGGTTTCTGGAGTACCTGGGGGACCCCTTTATTTTTTTTTCAATGAGCTTGCAGATTTGTGGGACGATGGACCCGTTTTCCAGCACAAGCCCAACTCGGTAATGGCCCCAGATCCCAGCCTCCGGGGGCCAAGTCCCACTAGCAGCGTTGAGCTACCTCAACGAGTGAATCTGGACGCTTTTGAGGTGATGTTCAGAAATGATGTCGAGTTTCCTGAACTGCACGTCTCCACAAACACGTCCAGATTCAGGCGTTGAGGTAGCTCAACGCTGCTAGTGGGACTTGGCCCCGCGTTGTTTGTTGAGGGATTCCCGGCCTCAAAATTATTTTATTATTATACCAATGGAAAAAAAATTTAAAAAAAATCGAACGAAAGATGCATTCTTCATTTTGCACATTGGGCCTCGCTCCACTACTGACAAAATATAATAGAGGTTGGCGGTGTATCTTTCCATGTTCTAGCGGAAGATTCTCATTTTTGCACATTTGAGAGTAGTGGAGCGAGGCCCATTGAGCGAATAGTGCGGCGAGGCCGAAAGGGCCAACACTTCACGCAAGTGCAACCAAATTTTGG